TTAGTACGATGTGTTGGACATTGGAGGAGGCGATTATTAGAAGAGCGAAGATATTTGCTGTGGTTTGCGCATGTATATTGGAAGTGAAAGGACAGATAATGAGGCGAATGAGGTGAGTCAAGAACAGAGAAAAGAGTGGTTAGCGCCCTTAGTTCCCTGCGCTGTCGTATGGGCAACCACTTTAATTGCAATCGGTATGCAGAAACATGATCATATCTACGCAGGTTGAAAACGAATCGAATGCAGTTATTCAGAAGTCGGTCAAGTTTATTGAGGAGATCTGCATTCAGGTCATAATAACACACATCAGCATAATCAATAATAGGGAACAACAGGGCCTGCACCAGCATTGCCTTGGTGTCGGACGGGAGCAAGTTTTTAACGCGATAAAGAGCCCGCAGCGATCCAGTCACCTTTTTGCTCACACTAATGACCTGTGCATGCCAGTTAAGATTGCTGTCAATATGTAAACCGAGGTCTTTGACGTCGCTAGTAAACGGAACGATCGCACCGTCGAAAAGGACAGCGGGTAGAGATGCAACGTCAACCTTACTCAGAGAACGAGAACTTCCTATCACAATCGCCTGACACTTCTTGGGGTTTACCGCAATGCCGAACCTTACCGACCAATTATTAATAGCGGATAAGTCGTTGTTAATTTTTGAGATGGCATACGGCAATCCGTCGAAGCTGGTCTGACAGTAAATCTGCAAGTCATCCGCATATAGATGGTACGCACACCGAAGCTCGGAAGTGATGAGATTAATAAAGATGGAAAATAAGAGAGGTGACAGTATACCGCCTTGAGGAACGCCAGCCTTTAATTCGCGCCAGTTAGATGAATTATCACCGTGCTTGACCACCTGCTGACGCTCCCGAAGATAAGAAGAGAACCATTCCAGTGACTCGCCCGAGACCATAAGGTGGGATAGGATAGCCAACAGGATGTCGTGACTGACCATATTGAAGGCATTCGAGAAGTCAACCAAAACCAGGACTGTGGCTTTGGTATCCTCAAAGCCGGTTCTAATATCGCCAGTCACTTTAAGGAGGGCGGAAGTAGTGCTGTGGCCAGGTCTGAAACCAGATTGTAGAGGACTAATCAGTGAATTCCGATATATGTAATTAGAGAGCTGTTTATGAACACAGGCCTCGAGCACCTTGGACAGGAATGGGAGTATGGATATTGGACGGAATTGAGAGGGAAGGGTGGGAGAAGAGGCTTTAGGGAGCGGACGGACAAAGGCTCTACGCCAGAGGGAAGGGAAAGTACCGGAATAAAGGGAAAAGTTGATGACATGGGTTATTGCAGGTAGGAGGTGATCCAGAATGGTAACAATCATGTATCGAGAGATGTTGTCACAACCTACCGCTTTGGATTTGATTGAGAGGATGATCTTTCCGACCTCAGTCGAGTCAACTGGAGCGAAGCGGAAAGGATTAGTGATAGATGGACGCGTCAGACCAGAGATAAATGTAAGAGTGTTACGTTTGACTAGAGGGTCCATGGTAGGTACTGTTGTGAAATGGTCGTTAAGACCATCTAGACAAACTGTACAGGGAAGGTCTGAATATTGCGTCTTACCGATACCTAGAGTTCCGAGGAAAAATATGGAGATACTGTAAACTTTGTTAACACCTATATTATTATGTACCCATGTTTGCAAATTAATAAATGAATTTGAATGTCCTCCAGTCCATTTGAGTGCGAGATTAGTAAAAAAAAGTGTGTTTACAATAATTCTAATTTTTTCTAGGTTTCATTGCCGTTAGGTTAGGTTTAAAACTACCTCGTTGGCCGAGTGGTCGCAATTGCGACTGCTGGGCAAGGGGTTTCGGGTTCGATTCCCGGGTCGGGCAAAGTATTACTGGGTTTTTAAAAATTCTCAGTAGTAGCACGGAGTCTGGAATTGTGCCCGGTATATGGCAATAGGCTCACCCCCTATTACGTAGGACTCCTAACATAAATAGTGAAAAGTGGGTGTTACATTGTACAGTGGTATAATGGTCAGTTCTGAATACCCCTTCGGGGATAAAAAGGCGAGATGTTATCATATTTATAAATACTCATATTCGACTACAAGGCTGTTCCAAGTTTCAAGTTATATCTAAGATTACATAAAAACTTTCATTATAATTTTGCTCATTTATTTAATATTAATTTGTAAATTATTCTGCAAGTATTTGACCAATGAAATAAGATATCATGTATTAGACATTTATTGGTAAAAATGGTTCAGTTTATAATAATGAAACTGTCAATTAATTTGTACCTATATTTAATTCCAGAAATCCAACACCAACCTCCACGGACCTGCTACCCTTCACCTGGACTCCAATCACGAAGACATCACAACCGTACCTAGACATGGATGCAGAATTTACCATCAAGAGCAGACCAGCTCATGACAGAATGGCATTCTGGGATATATTCTATAAACTCTATGGAAAACACCAGAAATGGTACAAAGAGCAATAAAAAAAAACTAGCTATAAGAGAAACGTTTTGAAAATTCATAAAAATATTAAAACACAAATTATGTGAAGTATTTTTTTTAATAATTTTATATTCAAGTGTGGGAGAGCCATGCTTCGGCACGAATGGGCCGGCTCGACCGGAGTGATACCAGGACATCATAGAAAACCGACGTTAAACAACGCTTGCGTTGTATTTCGTCGTGTAAGTGAGGTTGCCGGAGGCCCAATCCCCCCACCCTTCCCTAATCCCTGAATCCCCAACAATCCTCAAATTCCCTATCCCAAAAGGCCGGTAACGCACTTGCAACGCCTCTGGTGTTCCAGGTGTCCATGGGCGACACCGATTGCTTACCATCAGATGATCTGTCTGCTCGTTTACCGGTTTATACCAGTCAACAATTTGAATAAATTAAGCATATTGTGTTTACTCATTGAACATTCAGACATAATAATACATACTAGAGAACAAAAAAAACTAATTTTTTTTTATACTAGAGTTTGTTTTTGTCACACCATACACCATTAACAGCCTATAAATGCCCACTGCTGAACAAAGCCTCTTCCCTCACGGAGGAGGTTTGACCATTAATCACCACGCTTGCTCATGAGTCATGGTAGCCCAGAGGTTTAAGACGTCCGCTTCTCATGCATGAAGGTGCGGGTTCGAAACCTACCAACGGCAAGTACCAATATGACTTTCCGAGTTATATGTACTTTCTAAGAATATTTCGACACCACTGACAAATGGTGAAGGAAAACATCGTAAGGAAACCTGGGCTTATAATCTTAAATATTCTCCGTGTGAGAAGAGGCTTTGCTCAGCAGTGGGCATTATAGGCCGTTGATAGATACGATGTATACCTATGTAGAAAACTAAACTAGACCAAGCTACGTTTTGTACACCAAATACACTTTAACAATCGCGGAAACCCAACTCTTTGCTCGCTTAACTCGTCGAGTACCGGTTTTATAGACACAATTAAAGAACAATAGGTCGCGGTCACCGGTGACCGCTTGGTGTTTGACAGTTTAAGGCTCATAATTGTAACTACTCTATCAACAAGGTACTCGTTAGTACTTGGACATAACATTTAAACCTATTCAATGTTGACCTTGTAACATAATGCCGATGATCGCACTGTTTGACAAAAAGCAGAATTCAACGTGGTCAATGACTTATGAGTGATGAATACTTAGATGAGTCATGATTATCGCAACGGTTCCGTCGAGATTCATAGCAATAGAATAGTTTATAGTTTTCTTTTATATTCTTTGTAAGTCGTTTTTAAGTTTTATAGTTTTAAATGTATTATATTAGTAATAAAGAATCGATGACAGATGTCACTGACGAGTTATCATTAATTTTATTAAACGTGCTACTGCCGGGTAAGAGGTCTCGGGTTCGATTCCCGGTTCGGACAAAATATTACTGAGGGTTTTAAAAATTGTCAGAGAGTCTGGAATTATGCCCAGCATATGGCTCACCCCCTATTACATGGGACTCATAACATTGATAATGAATAGTAGGTGTTACATTAACAGAGGCAATAAGTGCCGTAATGTGCATCTCTGCCTACCCTGCCGGGGATAAAAAGCGTGATGTTATGTTATGTTGTTAATAATAATAATTTATCTATTCAAATCAATATCCCAGGTCAGTCCACTGATGGATCCAATTCTACTACTTAACTGGTGTTTGCTAGTACCTAATCGCCAGGTTTCAATTATACCTTTACCTTGTATTCCATTTGGTGCTAATTTTATTGTATGTTAGTTAATTTTTTTTTAATTCTACGAATGACATGTCAGGTGTTCTCCCTCTAAAACTTATATTGTTGTGTCCAACAAGGTTCACATTGTGTCATAATTATGTTTACCACCTAAGTAATACATGTGAAAAGCTATAAAGTATTGAGTATTGAGGCTAGCGGGCAGATTGAAAACCGCCGTTTAAAAGGAGTTCTGTAGGTAAGGTTGTGATAACAAAATATTTTCTTTCTTTTTGTTAAACTAAATATAAAAATTCTGTGGATATTAGATTGATGAAGAACAATGAAGTATAAACATTCTGAGCAGAGTCATGTATAAAACTTATCTAAAAACGTTTAACACCTCAACAAATTGAACCCTAACAATTAAAAATAAACATTAGACTGACTCAAACAATCGCGACCGAAAACTAATATCACGCTATCCTTGTTTGCCCGACCAATAGAGACAGAGATAGCAACACTTAGATAAAGAATAACCTCTTTTTAAACACATGCCGGTAAAAATATAATCCAGTAATGTTTACACTTCTGTCAGTGACAGCATGTAACTTAAAACCAAGTTTAGAAGTCCTGAATAACTGATTGACTTAACTGACAGATAACATAAACGTACTAATATTTAATTCGTATCTAGTGACTACTGACTGTGATACAAAACACTGATTATTTCGTACCTTTTATCATAGTTTGTTTTATTAATAAATATTGAGCAATTTGTTAATTTACTGTGAAATTTTGCAAGGTTAAAACATGTGGGTAATAGTTATGATATTAACATTATGTGGTGTAGTGCAAGGGGTCTCTAAGGCCCCATTAGTGTCAACAAAACTGGGTCAGATTAAAGGATTGGAGTTTGGAGATGGACATGCTCAGTTCTTGGGAGTACCTTATGCTGTGGTGGATAAAAATAATCCTTTTGGGGTAAGTTTATGCTACAAACTAAAGTCTATTTGATAATGTTCAATTTTCTTCAGTTATCATCATTTTAGACTACTACTGGGCCTCCATCATTTCTGCTATACTTTGGTTATATCATTGCGCAATAGTTATGAATTAAGATTTTTTTACACACATTTGTTAAATGACTGCCTCGATGGCCGAGTCGCAAGTGCGATTGCCGGGCAAGGGGTCTCGGGTTCGATTACCGGGTTGGGCAAAGTATTACTGAGTTTAAAAAAAAAATCTCTATAATAGCACGGAGTCTGGAAATGTGCCCGGTATATGGCATTAGGCTCACCCCCTATTACATGGGACTCATAACATAAATAGTGAAAAGTGGATGTTACTTCTGTGTGCACCTCTGCCTACCCCTTCGGGGATAAAAGGCGTGATGTTATGTTATGATGTTAAATTCGCCGACATAATAATGGAGATACTAATCTAACCAAAACTCTAAGCTTATTAGTCTAACTCAGGAATTAAACTGCATTCGTAACTCAGACAGTAACCTCAGATGCCTAAAACATAAAATTCCAATTTTCAGCCATCAACACCACACCCATGCTTCAATGAAACCTTCGAGGCGTATGAATCAAAAATGTGTCCTCAAATAAATGACAATGTTGCGGTTGGAACACTCGATAGCCTCGCCATGAACATCTACGTGCCAAAGACAGCGAATTCACAAAACCTCTTGCCAGTCATGGTATGGATACATGGAGGAGGCTTCGTTGACGGCAGTGCTGATGATAAAGGCAAGAGTTCTCCAATAGAATTCATGAAACATGACGTGGTAGTTATAGGAATCAACTACAGACTTGGCATATACGGCTTCATGAACCTGGACATTCCTGAAGTACCTGGAAACCAAGGTCTAAAAGACCAAGTGCTTGCTTTCAGATGGATTAGGGAAAATATAGAAGCATTTGGTGGAAACTCTAATAATGTAACCGCATTTGGTGGCAGTGCTGGTGGCATTTCTATCAACCTCCATCTAGTTTCGCCTTATGAGAAGCTGTTCGAAAAAGCAATAATAGAAAGTGGAACTGTGTATATGAGATTTTGGTTAAGTGAAGTAGATTATACCATTCCTATTAGAATAGCTAAAGAATTAGGATTTAATACTACAGACAAACTTGAAGCAGTGAAGTATCTCTCAAAAATCGATCCTCTTGTAGTTCTCAATACAGTTAATGAATTAAAACATGATGGGGTGAATGTGAAAAGTGAGATTAACCGAAAAACAGTACCGTATGTAGAGAAAAAGTTTGAAGGAGTTGACAACTTGGTAACAGATAAAATGGCTAATATTTTATCGTCCAACAAAGTGGAAACGACTCCTATATTACTGGGTGACAATAGTAATGAAGCTGCTATCGTTATACATGCAGCTGATGATGAATTTTATAAAAGATTTGATTTTGGAAGGCATTTATCTTTAGGATTCGACTTTAAAGGAGCTGTGCCTGAAGAAGTTGTAAAAAGCGTGAAAGATTTCTATATAAAAGATGATAATTTGGATACACTTAAAGATGGTGTATTAAAATTCATGTCGGATTTTTATTTTTCACATCCGACGCAAAAGACTCAGGAATTCTTATTGGGTATTGGAGCGAGGTCTCTATATCGCTATATGTTCTCGTACAGCGGTGATAGGAATATGATTAAAGCGATAAACAATTTTACTGTTAACGGAGCTACACATGGCGATGAACTTGGATATTTGTTTTCTTACGACATATTTGGAAAGGCAAATCCTCAAGATCAAATCATGGTTGATAGAATGGTTACAATTTGGACCAATTTTGCGAAATATGGGTAAGTTCAGTTTTTAAAGCTATACTTTGCAGTCGGTTTTAAAAACCTTTTGTTAAAGGATTTCACAGGTCAATTGTTACATTATTTTAAAATGATATAGTGTTTAACATTATCTTTAACTATAAAAGTCATAGTATTTATTTCAATTAAACAAGAATTATTAATTTATTGTCATCATAATCATCATCATCATCATCATCAGCCCATAAGTACCCACTGCTAAGCAAAGGCCTCTTCTCATAAGATTCTCCTTGTGAGAAGGTTAGAGCATTAATAACCATGCTAGCGCAAGGGGGATTGGTGATTTCAATCTTAGAATATGAAATTATAAACCCAGGTTTCTTCACGATAATTTCCTTCACCGTCTGTCAGTGGTGTCGAAATAATAATAAACTCGGAAAAGTCAAACTGGTACTTGCGGACTTTCGAACGTAGAGGTGTAATTGTTTAATGTAATATATACTACTCTTTCATTCGTTAAGTTATCAATCCTACGAAACGTCGTTTATAAATTTTACTCTATTAATACCTATACGTATTTTAACGTTTCAGAAACCCAATACCGACCAAAACGGACCTGCTTCCAATCAAATGGGAACCCACTACAAAATCTAGCCCTAAATATGTAGATATAGACCTAGACCTAACGCTAGGTACCGTACCGTTCCCTGAAAGAATTGAATTCTGGACTAAATTCTACGAACGGTATGGACAATATCAGATCTGATTTGGATTTGTACAGAATTTTTAACGGGGTTCACAAATTAGTCTACAGAATCACGAATGATAAAAGATCGCTTGAATGAATTTATAGGTATGAAAATGTATAACAATAAATCGAATTAAATTATGTTAGTACGACTTTTAATTTGTTTCTTTATTTTATGTATTGCGCTCTTAGCGCTGTGTGGAACACCAGAAGCGTTACTAGTGCGTTACCGGACTTTTGTGACGTAGCTTCACGTCGGTTTTCTGTGAGGCCGTGGTATCACTCCGGTCGAGCCGGCCCTTTTGTGCCGAAGCATGGCTCTCCCACACTTAAAACTGTAATAAACTTAAACTCTCTGTTAAGTGAAGGAACTTTTAAAAATCAACTATAGTTTAACTAACTAAAAATCGTGGCTTACTCACGTGAATATAGAAGAAGGAGAAAGAAAGAAAAATTGTTTATTTGCACACCGTCACAAGGTACAATAACAAAAAAAAAAACAATACAATATACTGAGAAGCTCTACTAGTTTCGAACCACAGTGGGGTTCTTACTTATGAGTAACCCGCGATTTTTACTTGATTTAGTATGTCTCACGATACTTATTATAAAAACATGTAGTTTAACTAATTTTAATTTTATCTTCATTTGTATATACCCAGAAATATCACGCAGGAACATTCACATGACTGAAAAAAATATTAGGTACTGAAAAAGCCCTAAGATAACTTACCTCCGTAGTATATAAAGATTTCAGTGAAATGAAAAACTTTCTATAAATATCTAAAAAGCCATCAGGTCCACTGAAAAAGCACAAAGCGCCTCCCACTAATGGAAACGAAATTGCGAACAAACTGTTTGCTGAAACTTCACCTGAAAACGGCCTTTTTCAGTTATAAATAAAGATGAAACGATCCAGTTTGTTTTGTAAAAGTATCTTTGAATTCGCTTTTGATTTTTTTTTACCTACCAGAGTCAGAAAAGGTAGTGAAAAGTCAATTGAAAGATCGAATATGCTGTTTCTTATAGATAAATTCTCAATTTAATAAATTATATATCACTAGCGACCCGCCCCGGCTTCGCACGGGTGCAATATGTATATAAATACAAACGTTCCTTAAGAATCACTCTATCTATTAAAAAAACCGCATCAAAATCCGTTGCGTAGTTTTAAAGATCTAAGCATACATACGGACATACAGCGAAAGCTACTTTGTTTTATACTATGTATTGATTTATGTTTTTATAAGGTGCTCTTAAGTACGACTGCCAGGCAAGGGGTCTCGGGTTCGATACCCGGGTCGGGCAAAGTATTACTGGGTTTTTAAAAATTCTTCAGTAGTAGCATGGAATCTGGAATTGTGCCCGGTCTATGGCAATAGGCTCACCCCCTATTACATGGGACTCATAACATAAATAGTGAAAAGTGGGTGTTACATTGTACAGTGGCATAATGTGCACCTCTGCCTACCCCTTTGGGAATAAAAGGTGTGATGTTATGTACTTTTAAGTCAAGGATACACTAGGGGACGAATGACCTGCGAACACGTGTCGCCAGTGTCGTTGGGTGAAGTAGTGTGACGTTGCCAGACTTTGCTCGACATACCTCTTTTATTTTGCTTTATATTATATAATGTTCTTTTTGTTTTATTGTTGTTTTTTTTTTTTATTTTTTTATTTTATGTTTTTTATATTGTTTTATTTTCGGTGGTCCATGTCTGATGACGAATAAATTTATTTTCTTTCTTTCTTTCTTTCTTACCTGGCAACATTAACGTCACAGTGGACATAAGTCGCGCGTTGTCACCATATATGACAGACGAAGTCGGCCGGCTTTGCTTGACATGTCGTCATTGACAAATGGAATCTAAAGCCGAGGATATAGGTACTAGGGGACACCCTAATGTAAAGTGATGGTATCTATATATACCTAGTACATACACTAGCGGACCCGACAGACGTTATCCTGCATATGCACTTGAATGTATAAACAATATTTCATTCAAATCAGTTTAGTATAAATAACCCAGACAGCGACTGCAGCGCCATCTGCCGGGTTGATTTGTGAATCTAAACTATACTCACACCACTCAAACGCGTACAGAAAAAATCATTTAAATCAGTCTAGCCGTTTAGAAGGAGTTCAATGACATACACACGTACAGCTAAAGATATAATAAAATCGTAGGAAAGGGAAAAATGTACATCGAATATTTTTTTTAAAGAATGCTTTGAGCGTGATCTACAGTCGGTACCGAAACTAAAATATGGTTTTTAGAATTTTTGTCCATTTGTCTGTATCTATGTTCGGGATGAACTCAAAAAGTGCTGCATGGATTTCCTTCAAATTTTGCATGAATATTACTAACAGGTCGGGTCAACATATAGGCTACATATTATCATGCTATCAACTACGGAGGAGGAACTGTGAATTACTATTCCACGCGGACGAAGTTGCGGGCTCAGCTAGTGGTAAACAGTTATGGTATGTTATTAATGACAGTCTAGGATCTACAAATTCAAGAAACTGAACCTGAATTTTGATTATTGATAGCCCTATCAGGATAGTTTCTGTGTCATTACTTGGTTAACAGAAACACTCCGCACAAGTTCAAGCACAAAACTTCGTTATGAAAGGATAATATTATTATTGTACAAATATCATTTAAGGGTGCTATTTTTCCCTCCTATTCTACCTCAGGACAGACACCAGGTGTGCTTTCATGGGGATTAACCTTAATCCCCATGAAAATCAGACAGAAACGCCACGGCTAGGGACTTTATTCGTGTGATTTATTACACCTACAATAACTTTATATTATTTTTTTGAACACCCTGTACATCTGTAGGCCGGATAATAAGAGGGTGTTATTTATCTTCTTTGTTAACTAGTGAAATGCTCTGGTTTTGCGTGGGTGGCTATTTTTCCTTGTAAATCTTGTCCAAGCAAAAAAAATTATTAAACTTTTAGCTTCTGCACAGCGGCTTCAACGGACTTACAAATAATAGGTACCCTATGTGCATCGCGGGCCTCAAAGAGCCATCAGACTACCACGGATGAAGGCCATATAGGGCTGATGCTGTCACGAAGCCACGGAGGACTTACCTGTTTGCCGGGGCTCCGGCTCGAAGGGCAGGAGTAGGAACGGGGTGGTTTATATAGGCAAATATAAATTTACAGAATATTAGGTTGCCCGAGTGGACTTTACACTGTAACTGCAGGGCCGACAGTTGAAATTAGAACTGACGGTTGAAATTAGCTTAAACCGATATTATAAATGTGAATATATGAGAGTTGAGACTGCCTCGTTGGCCGAGTGTTCGCAAGTGCTACTGCCGGGCAAGGGGTCTCGGGTTCAATTCCCGGGTCGGGTAAAGTATTACTGGGATTTTTATAAATTCTCAGTAGTAGCACGGAGACTGTAATTGTGCCCGGTATATGGCAATAGGCTCACCCCCTATTACATGGGAGTCATAACCTAAATAGGGAAAAGTGGGTGTTACATTGTACAGTGGCATTAAGTGGCGTAATGTGTACCTCTGCCTACCCCTTCGGGGATAAAAGGCGTGATATTATGTTATGTTCTGTTATGCTATAGGGCCAATGGTTGAAATTAGCTTGAACCGATATTATAAATGTAAAAATATAAGAGTTTATCTGTTTGTTTGTTACTCAGTCACATCAAAACGGCTGAAGAGACCGGGATGAAATTTGGAAAGGAAGTAGATTATAGTCTAGGGTAACACATTGGCTTTTACCCCTGGTAACACATTTTAACACATTTTACCCCTGGGAATGTGGGCCAAGCCACTGGCAGAAGCTAGTATCTTATACTATTATATAGTCACGGAGAACCTAACGGGTAGCTCCGGCTCGACGTGCAGGAGAAGGAACGGGGTGGTTTTTAGTCAGTAAGAGTCTGACGCTCCCTTCCGCCTCACCCAGGCGGGAGCAGGCATTCGATGATTTTCCCCCCTTAAAAAAAAAATACTATTATATAAAGCGGAAGAGTTTGTTTTCTTGCTTGTTTGTTTGAACGCGCTATTCTCCGTAACTACAGGTCTGATTTGAATAATTCTTTTTGTGTTGGATAGCCCATTTATCGAGGATGGCTATAGGCTATAAAACATCACGCTACGACCAATAGGAGATGAGCAGAGCGTGTGAAACCGCGCGGAAGTAGCTAGTTAACAATAAAATGCGTGTCATACTTTCTGTGATTCGTATAAATAGACAAGTAAATCGCTTCACTTTTATTCGGCTGCAATCCTCTTTCATTTGCCCAGACAATTACGAACGCAACTATATAGAATCAGTGAAATTGATTGAGCCGATGCAGCAGCGTGTTTCAAGTACTTTTTCAACGTAATCGGCGGTGTGTGTTAAAAACAAAATGGATGACATTTAAATAATTTTGGATTCATTACATAACATACCATCACGCCTTATATCCCCGAAGGGGTAGGCAGAGATGCACGTTACAGCATATAATGTCATTGTACAATGTAACACCCACTTTTCACTATTTATGTTATGAGTCCCATAAGGAATAGGGGCTGAGCCTATTGCCTTGTTGGATTCATAGCATATAAATTATATACCTAATGTAATCTATATATCTTTATATACTTATATATTTCTGCTGTACACGTATATGTCAACTGAACTCTTGACCGATTTAAATGATTTTTTTCTGTATGCGTTTGAGTGGCGCCCTGGATGGTTTAGATTCACAAATCAGCCCGGCAGATGGCGCTGCAGTCGGTATCTTAGTTATTTATCTATACTTACCTATTATTATATTATACGCAGGACAACGTCTGTCTGAAAGCTAGTTTAGAATAAAAAGAAATATTATAATATTTTCAAGTGCACATGTTCCCTGCTGTTTATAATTTGATGGGCCGACGTTTGACCATTATCGCGCCTAGTGGTAAGCGATGATGAGGTTCAGTGTTTTTTAAAGCTAGCCAGTCTGTGACCATTCCTGTGTGTATTTCACATCTTACCATAATAC